CTTACGTTTGGCCTCTTCACTGTCTGCAGTTAAATGACGAGATGAACGTTTGGACGCTGCTTCAAAGCTTTAAGTTCATCGCCTTTGTGCGTCAAATTAATGATATTTAATTTGGAGTAAACAAGCAAATCTCAATCCACACAGAAGCATCGATCCAAGTCAGAAAATGTTTTTGTAGACTGAGGCTCACATGGAGTTCACTAAAGCTTCTCTAGTCACTAAAACTTTTAAAGGGGACGTATTCGGAAAAATCCACTTTGTTTTTGAACATTGATCTGGGTAACCTGAGCTGACCCACAACATGTCAAATAAATCATAAGAATCTACATCTTGATGGGAGAAGATACATCCCAAGAGTTCAAAGAGTACAAAGCATGGTATGGATGGCTAAAGATAGACCAGCCCCAACCCCCCCACCACCCCCCCCCCCTTCCTCTTGTGACCTGACAAACAAACATTAACATCATTAGATGCCACTTTCAGAAGCACACAAAGACGAGCTTCATGAGAGATAATGAAACATGCAACGGGACGCAGATTGTTTGAGACAATCAAATGGACTGGAATAAGACCGTATGGATTTCTTCTCACAGTCAAAGCTCAGGTGCTTTTTTTCAAACTAAAAGAAAGGAGAAAAGGAAGCAAACCACCATCATTTAATACCAGTGTATTTGTTAAATGGATTCTGTGCTGCCTCGCTTTCTTCACCTGCCAAACCGTTGATCAATGTCATGTTAAACTTTTATCTACCTATGGATTCTTATATTGCTGCATGATATCTTTAAATAAGCCCACAGTAACGTCGTGCTGCAGAGGCGGGCTTGCTGTCACTGTCCATAAATCTGATAACGTGTCCGTCCTGGTACAGTCTCTCCTCCTGCAGACGTCCGTGCAGAAAGTTAAAAAAAGATAAGCCCTCTGGCAAGACAGAGGAGGAGCAGCTATTTTAAGAGAACACCCCATGATGAACCCTTTCTTACTTCTATACATCATCCTTTAGGATTACCGTCAAACACAGCCTAAATGAGCGGCTGAAATTTGATGGGATGTGTCGCTTAATTATCTGAGAAGCAATCTTATAACTAACACGACCAATTAAAACCCTGCAAACGTTTAACTAACTGCAACAACACAACATGGTGCTGTTGATACGGCACAGAAATTGAGGAGTTCTGTTTCAACAAAAGAGATGTTATTCTCCCTTCAGTGCATATTCAATTTGGACATGAAATTAGAAATCAGACTTGTCATGTTATCTTAATTCACATCACCAGGGGGAAAATGTGCAGCTTTGCTCTGCAGAAGAAAAAAAGAAGTGTCATCCTCCATTCTGCTTTCTTCCCCATCACACTGTCTCCTCTGCACTTCCAGTTACAGTCCCCACGCATAGCCAACAAAGCGGCTGTGAACACTAGCTGTCAAGTGGTCACTTATTTAACCTGCCATGTGACAACGGGGGTGAGGCTCAGGGTCAAATCCCGCTGTGGTCAGTCTTGAGCTATAGAGACAGATCCCTGTAACCGTTAGCTAATCCTGACAGAGAGACGCTGCCAACACCATTAGGATAAACAGTGTCAGCGAGCACGGCCGCTTAGAACACAGGCAAAAAGGTGCTGCTATTGAAAAGCAAAGAGAGGGGCAACACATTCACCTGATATTCAATAAAACCATCAAGGTTCACGTCAAAGGTGATCTGTTGTTTTTGCAGAATAACCTCAGGCTGTTTTTCTAGTAGAAAAAAAAGAAAGGTGTGAATTCCTCAGTGATGCAGCCGCAAAATGACATAGAATTAGTGTTTCCAGACACTTCCACATCCTGTTGAGACATCACACTTTCACCTCTGACTGACTCACAGTGAATCGTATGATTTAGTCGTTTGTTTTGTGCCACTTCTGATCTCCGTCCATTTCTCCTCAATGCAAAGACCTCCTCAAAAAAATGTTTGCATTCTGACTAGGGCTCGAAAATGAATCCACACCAACATCCAGAACATCTGACAGACCTAATCTTGCCCATGTTGATTATTTCGATTATTTTCAGAGTCACATGACGGCACGTCCAATCTGCGACATGTCCGTCGGATGGACACATTTTGTCTTAAGGGAAGACGACACACAACAAAAATAATTTAAACTTAAACACTGGGGAAAAACTGTTTGCAAGAAATGCAAGTTATCTATTTTCTGCTGTTTGAAAGAAGTTAATTTCTACTTTAAAACTAAAATGTGTTGTTTTCATTTCAAGCGATGTTTTGATTTCAGTTTAAAATATTCAATAAATAACCTCAAAACAGTTCATCAGATATGAACTCTGTCATTAGAAAACAGATCCCAGCTTTAATAGTTGAACATATTTACAGTAGAGACCTCGTCAGTGAACTATGAGGACAAAAAACTAAACGAAATAATCGTTGATTAATCGCCATGGAGGAGGTCAAATGTTCAATTCATGGTGATGTTGATTTGAGGTCATATCGCCCAGCTCTAATACTGACGAGGCTCCAGAGTGTTGAAGGACCGCAGACATGCCAGACTTTCTAAATCTTCTATATTGGGATATATTTTAAGCACGGCTAGGTATCTTTTTAATCTGAATATTTTTCCAGCTCAGAAATGCCTGAAGCTTAATCCCCCCCCCCCCTCATATTTTCTTGTCAGGGCTGGAAAGTATTCAGACGTTAATATGACACTGCTGATGTAAATTCCTTGGTGGGATGGAGCAGCAGGATGAGACAGGTTATATCACAGGTGTTAGAGAGCCTGCACGCTTTAAACAAAACTCAACGACAAAATCAACAGCGAGCATTGAAATAACATATCTTCTGATTATCTTTGTTTTAAATAAGCAGTCATTATTTTCCTACCAAGATCACCTCCGGTCTTATTGGAATAAAATAAACATCCACCACAGCTGGATAACGTACAAGTGATTTGAGTTTATGTATGAGAACTGTATCAAACGTTAGAAATAGAGCAGAACAAATGTGGATAAACCAACCATCAGAGAAATTAAATTGGCAAACATGTTCTGAGAAAAGAAGAAAACGTTGCCGTAGCCTTATACGTTTTTTGGATTTCCAATTCACGAGTAAAGCAGCTAAAGACCCCGACTGCCAATTCATCCAGTGATAAAAAATAAGAAGAAGTTGTAGAAGCCTGTACACTATAACTTCTAATGTCCAAATCCAGTGAGTCACTGCGACTGATGCCAAGAAGCCGATTCTGCATCCGACTCTTTTTTCCTTGTTTCCATAACCACGATGGCATCTGTCACTCGCACAAATTACAGCCTGCATGAAGCCGTGAAGACTAAGAGCCTGCTGCAGCTAACAAGCAGTCGATGACACCAGGGTTGTTCCCTCAATGTCAGATGGACGAGGAGAAAGGCTGTGCCACTAACTCTAACCTCCCTGGTTTTAAATGGTGGTCTTATTGATTGTCCGTGTGTGTGTGTGTGTGTGTGTGTGTGTGTGTGTGTGAAGCAGAGTCCATTTGCAGTGGAACCAGAGCTCCAATGAAATGATCATGAAAAACCATCTTCACAGTCTAAATGGATTTATGTGTGTGTGTGTGTGTGTGTGTGTGTGTGTGTGTGTGTGTGTGTGTGTGTGTGTGTGTGTGTGTGTGTGTGTGTATCTGCATACTAGCATAGCTGCTAACGTCTAAAGCCATGCATGTTTAAGGGTGCATGTGCGTGGCTTTTAAAAGGGACTACAGCTCAGAGCTCATTTGCATGTTCAGAAGATGAACCAGCAGCTCTCCAAACCGTCTGCTGCAGGTAGTCACTCGTTCCAGTGATTGGTTGGTACTTAAGGATCTCGGAAAGCTTTTTCATTTGGACGCTCCCGAGTCCTGGAATGTCATACAAGAAATTTTAAAAAATTAAGACCTCATATGCAGCCTTTAAGGCCGTAGTAACGGACCACTGTGCATGAATTTGGAACTGTTTCTAGATATATGACTGTTTTCTTTTTAGCAGATTTTTTTTTTTTTTCTACTCGCTTTTATTTGTGTCCCTGATTTTATGCAGCGAGCTCGACGTCCTGTAAATAAAGAAGTGTCTTTACAGATGAAATTGAACTGAATAATACTGAGTTGTTCACTGAGCTACAAAAAGAGGAAGATTTTCCATCAGCTGCAGCCAACATGAGGACAACAGTCTGTCCATCCTCACAGAAAGTGTTCAGGGTATAGATACGAGTAGATAGATATGCAATGATCCAAACTCAGTGTTGAAGGACTGTTAGAAACAGCATCAACATCTTCCTTTGCATCACCGTGTCTAAGAAATGCAAACTGATATGAAAGATTAAGATGTTAAGCGTTCAAATGTCTGAAACAAAAACATCTTGAAATCATCATCTGAATCAAATTAGAATCTGATCCCTGCAGGTTTGCAGATATCACGTCCAAAGAATGTCAATAAACTCTTGGGTGTGATTTCCACCTTTTAGAAAACATCCAAAAAGAGTTAGAAATATTAAACATTACAAGAAACATGAATGACAAAGTGCAGATGTTTAAAAGAAATGTGTCAGCACTAATAAAGAGTAAACCAAAGATCTTAGCTTATTAGCATTTAGCTAGGTAAGGACTAGCAGCACCAGTAGCCTCCTGATCTTTACACCTCGTTGTTTTATTTCTAGATGCAAAAGTCGGTTTTGTTTTGGGTTTTTTTGCAAAAAGGGGAAAAAACGTCCAGAAAAGACATTAGTGCAACAAGAGGCCCCATAGTGACGCTATCTTTAAGGTTAGTCTCCCATCAAGGCTGCAGCTCCTGTTATGTTAAGTAGCCTTGATTATCTGTGCTGATAGGGGGGGGGCTTAGCGGGATGTAACACTGGGACCTAAAGGGGCTGCATGATGGCAACAGTTGCATAAACACTGTTGCAGTTTTCACTATGTTGCAATGCAAATGTCGCAAACAGAAGCGGAAACAATCACTTTGAAACAAAGACACGAGCAGCAGATCATTAAAGGGATTTCTTTTTCTCTCCTGACCTGTTGCGTCCTTTCAGCCGGGTTCATCATCACAGCCTGCCGAAAGCTGTTATCCACATAAGACGCCATTGTTTTTGTCTTGCAGGATAACTGAATGCCTTTTTCCCTTTTTAAAAAAAATGCATCCAGAGCCGATGATAGAAACACACACAAAAAAAGCCTTCCTCCTCCTCCTCCTCCTCCTCCTCCTGCTGCTGCTGCTGTCTTCGCTTTAGTCTCGTCGCCTGAGCTCCGATGCTAGGCGGATAAGCTTGGGAGTGCCCGGAGCCAGGCCACGACTGGAGCCAGACAAGCCGAGCAAGTCTCTCCTCTCGGGGTGGGAGGGAGGGAGGGGTGGGGGGTGTCCGTGTCTCTCTCTCTCTCTCTCTCTCTCTCTCTCTCTCTGAGATGTAGTGAAACTTTTCCGTGCAAAGCTCGGCTCACACTTGTCTACTCGAGTTGTTAAAATGTCCTTTCATGCAAGCCAGCCATTCCCTTCTTGTGTCTCCAGCAAATCTGCAAGCGACGAAAAAAAAAAAAAAAAAAAAAAAAGATATCCCCATACAGGATCCTCAAAAGAAAAACAAAAAGAAGTAAGCACAGATGATTATTATCCCGTCAGCAGCAACAACCCGACGTCCATAATGAGAGCAAGACACCAAAACACTCCCAGGATCCCCCGCTATATGAACATTTTGTGTTTTACTGTGTCTAAAAGTGGAGACAGGTCCGACGCCGCTGTGCTCTGTTGTGTGCCACCATGGTGACTGACACGGCAGAGGTCAAGCTACCCGGAGTTATCGGGGCTGCACTTCCGGGATAGGTTTTTTTTCAAAATAAAACGGAGCGGTAGTGGAACGACAAAGAAGACAATGGAAGAAGGAAAGGAGGGGTCTGCGGCAATTTATCCTTAAAACTGTTATTGCCTCTGATGTGACAATCTGTCTGTAACTACGACCCCCTGTTGTAATACGCTACCATCAAAGACTAACTGTATGCAAAATGAGACAGGAAAAAAAAGGGCGTGTGTCGATACACAAAGAGGCGACTTTTCTTTATTTTTTATTTTTTTCACATATGAATGCAGCTGTCTGACACCTCGAAAATATCTAATTAAGCTTAAGGACCAGTGAGCATTTTAAAATGACCACACCTGCCAGTCACCATGACCTGACTTCATATTTGTATACGATTCATTATCATTCGTTTACATATCTAATCTTCTGGGTATTTTCAATTAAATGACTCCCCTGCTTTATTGCCTTAATTAACCCTTTTAATTTCGTCAGTTTTGATAGGCTAAATTACTTTGATGGGAACATTAACTGAACTTCCGGTCCAGCTGCTATTGCGCATGTGTGACTTGACAGCGATACAGTCACTAGGGGCGGCTCATGGGCGAGTCCATTGGACAAAAAAAAGTGGGAGAATTAGGGAAGGGGGGAAGTTGCCATGTGGCAAAGTAAAGCTTTGAGTCCATCTAGTGACATCATTAGGTACTGCAGGTGTTGGCTGATACATCAGAGTGATGGGCTATGTGTTAAAAGAAGTAGAAAAATCTCCATGTTGCCAACTTTCATTTAAAATCTTATTTGAACAAAAGCACTAAAACATAAAGCCTACTTAAAGATGTATTTTTGGGGCTTTATTTGAGAGGCAGCACAGTGGGTAGAGTCGGAAATCAGGTAGAGAGAGAGAGAGAGTGTGGAATGACATGCGGGAAAGTAGCCACAGGTCAGATTTGAACCCGGGCCGCCCGCTTGGAGGACCACAGCCTCCGTACATGGGGCGCGCGCAATAAACACTTCCCCACCAGCGCTCTAAAGTACCAAAAGTGAAATAACTCCTCATGCACAACGGGCCATTTCTGTTTGGTTGTGGGGTTTTTTAAGGTTTATTTTCAGGCTTTTTTTTATGCCTTTAGAGATAGAACAGTGGATAGAGTGAGAAATGAAGGAGAGAGAGAGTGGGGAATGAAATATGGGAAAGGAGCTATAAGTCAGATTCGAACACGGTGGCACCCTCGGAGGTCTATAGCCTCTGTACATGGGGCGAACACTAATTAACTTAATAGATAATAATAGCCGCACCCGTGTAGATAGGGCTGACTTCATCTACCTGATGCGGCAGGCAAAAAAGTGGCAAACCACAAAGTGGACGAGGAAGAGAGTGAGGAGTATCTGAGCTGATAATTCCCGTCCTCTCTTCTGCAGTTTGAGCCTTTTGAACTCAGAGATAAAGTCTGTATAGATGTGTTTATAATTGTTATGATGATGATTATGTTATTGTTATTAAATTGAAAGTACATGTCTCCTTCTATCTCTTTTAACCCGTACATGGCTCCAGAGGAAGGACATCAGGTCTAATTAGAGGCAGCTGCAGGGGGTGTCGGGGAGACGGTTTCCATCTGACAACCCTGCAGCTGACCAAAAGGCAACGTAGGAGGTGCAGCAGGATGAAAAATGCCAAAGTAGAAATAACACTGAAGCTGTACAACAATCTGAACATGTTTGCAGGAAAACAATGATAAATGGACTTGAGCTTGTATATTTCTTTTCTAGTCTGACTACTCAAAGCTCTTTTACCCCACAGGTCACACCTACACATTCACACACTGATGGGAGAGGCTGCTGAGTAAAGTGACCATCTGAAAATAACTAATCCCATTCATACGCTGCAGACGGAGCAGCGGGAGCAATCCGGGGTTAAGTGTCTTGCCCACGTAGTTGCTGGAGCTGGGGATTGAACCCCCCATCTTCAGGTTGAGAGACGACCGACTCTACCAACTGAGCCACAGCCAAATCCCATACTGTTATTGAGTGTGTATGTTCCAATTTAGCATATTTTGGAGAATAACATAAAACTGCAGAATAGCCTAAAGATTATGTAAATTGTTTCTATATGAACACAGATACTCAAAGTTACCAACAGAGACAATAAACTATGTGCATCAGCGATTTCAGTGCTGCTGCAATAATCCCAATAAGTCAACAAGATGGTGCAGGGACTGACTTTAATACACAGTTATCCCGTAGAGGGTGTTAAATGTCAGATAAGAGGAGTCTTTATTGATCCTGCAGGGGTAGTTCACACGTACAGAAGCACTGACGGCGGATAAACTCATAAAGAGCTCTTGGATTAAAATGAACCAATAAAAGGAAATTAAATAAATCTGAGAGGTGACGTTTAAAAAAGTTAGATACAACATAGAAACTTACTTAGATACTTAAGTATAAAATAATGTGACATTACAAATGGTAATTATTCTTTTGTCAAAGAAACAGTATTGTTGAGGATGTATATGTGATATGTAGAGGACATGCTTCACTAGCAGCATCCCTTGTGATTACAGCGGAACTAGGACACACTAGGACGCCACGGCAACCAGTCGTTGCATGACAACCAATCATGGCCCCACTGACAGAGCAGACCGCTGGGCTCAAGTTTTCACCCGCAGAGGTGTCTCCAGCCTGCAACCTATCCAACACATAACGGTGGAGGACGATGGCAAAAAATAATGGAGCTGCTGCTGCGGGAGAATCCCAGCACGGACAGAGGATGATTTTTACAGGTAGGAGAAGAAGACAGAGGATGATTTTTACAGGTAGGAGAAGCAGACAGAGGATGATTTTTACAGGTAGGAGAAGAAGACAGAGGATGATTTTTACAGGTAGGAGAAGAAGACAGAGGATGATTTTTACAGGTAGGAGAAGCAGACAGAGGCTGTGTGGGTGAAACTGAGTGCAATATGAAGCGTTTATAAGATCCTTTGAGGCTTGAGTTAAGCTGCAACGTGCTGCTTTCACTGGCTAATTGGTTAATTGGTTTGGAAATGTGCATTTTGAGATTGCTATAAGACACATTCATGCATGACCCCGATGCATTGTTCAACAGCTGAATGAGAGACAAGCATACGGTCTGTGTCCGAGCAAATCTAAATGTAACATTGGACACATGATGTCACTGTCAGCAGGGCCGCATGTAAATGAAACAAACTGCTTCAGCGTCAATGTGCCAGCAGAGAGTTTGTGTTATTGTGCAGCATGTTGTTCAGTAAGTCGGAGTGCACGCAGATGTTCGCTTTCACTGAAATAATTCATGCATTACATGAACTCACAATGAGACATTATTATCATATAGTGCAACACAACACTTGAATATTTTCTATTGAATCATAATGCATGTTTACATTTTCCTGAACAAAACACCGAAACAAAAAGAACCCAACACTGAAAAGAAAGAAACCTTTTTTTTAAATCACCTCTTGGCAAATAATTAGTTTTAACACAACGCCCCGCGTCAAGTGTGAACAGATGTTCTCTTCATTTTATTTTTCTAACTCAACGTAAACAACCTAATCCTATTTGGACCCGTTCTGTGTCCCTTATTTTTATTACATTTCTGTTGAATTCACACAAAAGCTGATGATTACTTTGTTAGAAGATTAAACTGACCCAGTTTCACATGTTTGAGGAAGCTAATATTTGCTCTTTGGATTCATTTGTTCCTAAAAACGTCTCTGTACATTTCATGAAGTCTTGACACCTCCACTGTGTTTCTAACAAGGCCCAGATGGAATCGGAGACTACAGGCCCAGATCAAATTATTTCCCCCTGTACATCGGTGTGGGTGCCTCATCACCCGAGTCCACAGGAGACCTGGGATACCTGTGTCGAGCTGCACCGCACGCCCCCCCTCCTGTGCCCAGGCAGGGCTACGTGGGGGAGGTGGGCTGGGGCTGGCAGCACAACCAGATGTTAAACGGTGGAACGCTGCACAGCAATATGCAAATTAAGGTACCAATGTGTATGCAAATGAGTTTCCCCTTTAATGTGCAGAACAGAAACACTCTGAGAATGACTTATAGAAAAAGTTAGTTATCATCTAAATATGGATACAAACTTTAGTAAAGTAGCACAATTCATCATTAAATGGGGGGGCTTGCTCTGGTGAAGCAAGACTTTACATTTAATGTACAAATAAGTATAATGTATTATTATTCTTATTTAAATCTTCCTCATTTTTATGGGTGTATTTATTTAGTTTAAAAGAGCAATCAGTGAGATGTGTAGTGAGTGAAATGATAAAGTGAGCTTACTATCTGATCAGACATTAAGGAAACATGCTATGTTGAAGTGTTGGCTTCTCTGACAACAATGCAGCAGCCAGTATGTCCTCCTTCTAACTTCAGATTCTGCTCCTGAATGCTCTGGATTTGTTTGGACCAGAGAAGGTAGGCGCTTTTAAGGCACCCACTACACGCGGCTGTTTTGGACGCCCCTCAGTTTGTCAGATACGAGAGCAGTTATCAGGTCAACAGGTGTTGCAGCGATGGAAGCGGGCAAGAGAAGTGGTTCAGATAGAAGTGATTGTACCCGACCTAAAAAGCCTCTGCATGTTTCTAATAAGCTCCACGAGCAGAAACGTGCTCAAACTAGGATCAATATTGGAGATGCTTTTGAAAAATGGAGAGAGGTTAGAACACAGAAAGGTTTACAGACCCATGCAGAGCTGGATAAACACTGAAGCTTCAGAGTCCACCACATGGTGACCTGAGTGAGCATCCACTCTAGAGAGGAGGGGGTGGGGGAGACAGCGCTCTACTATGTTTTGATTTTGGATTGCAGTACCTATTTGAAACACTAGGGGGTCAGAGTTACATACTGCTCCTTTAAAAAGATCTTCCCTCATTTGAGTGAGTTATAATGTAATGAGATCTTCCTGTCGGAGTGTTATGTGAATTCTTGCCTTTACAAAATATAGAAAAGAAAAATGAAAATTTGCATAACTATTTGGATAAACATTATAATCACTAGTAATGAAAAACAGGGCTAACTGTTTTGAGGATCTGGATTAGAATCTTGACTTCATGAATGTTATTTTTAAATGCTATACATTTTAAAAACGTCATATTCTTCTCTTTGAATTCACATTTTCATGTCATCCAGGTCATGGTAAATACAAAGCTTGATCCAAAGGTAACTGGACTTGGTTAAAGATCTTGAGGTGGAACGTCTTCAAGATCTTCAGCCATGTCCAGTTTTCTTTTGCTTTTATGTTTGTTTTTTCCCCAGGTCTTGTGTTATGATAATGAAATGTCGCATAAATACAAGAGATAATAATTTTACTTTCCTCTTTTCCCTTCAGAAAACGGAGTTTCGTTCAGCGCTGGAGGACAAAGTGACTCAAAGGTTTCAGAATGAACAGTAAGACGACATTTTAAGCGTCTCACAGGACATGTGCCTGCCCGTGTGTGGGATGTATTTTGTTTCCCTCCCTCAGAATCGTATTACACGCGGCTATGTGCTGTGTCAAATGGATAAGTAGAGAACATCTCAGGTGTTCACAGTGTTGAGTGACTCATTGCAGGTTATCTGCTCCCTTTATTTATAATGCAACACTTCCACTTGAGCACGAACACACACCGCCTCGAGCTGCTGCGGAGAAATGAGCCGTACTCACACGGACAGAGTTACAGCATCTGACACAAACAAAGACCTAAACCAACAATGTCCAAGGTTTATCTGATACCTTTTAAAAACATTTATTGGATAAAAAAAACTCTATTAAACTACATTGTTTGTACTGTCTCAAGTAGATTCTGAATGGAATCAGAATTCCACCTATGGTCCATATCAGCTTAAAGTCTTCATATGTGATTTTTCACACTTAAATGTAGAAATCAAGTATATCCTCTGAAATAACTCTGTGAGTCATGACTGTCTACAATGGGTGTAACACCCGAGTCCCACTGTCTGTGATGTTTTCAGAGTTTTCAGAGTCCTATCTTCACTTTGTTTACATCGCCAGGACGGCCGGCTGACTCCTCCCCTCGTGTATAAAAGTTGTTTAATTGAGGGACTAGAGAAAAGAAGAATAACATACTGTACTCACTGCTTAACTGTGTTTCTAGATCACGCTCATTTCAGGTAAATTTACATGCAGTGTGAAGATACCAGCATAATAAAGATTGCTAGCATTAGCATGCTAACACAACAATGCAGCGCCAGTTGTTTTGGTTTCATGCTGGTGCTCAAGGGCGACATCTGCTGGATCAAAAAATCGCATATAAAGCCTTTAAAGCTGCAGTATGTTACATCATTTTATAAAAATTTGAGTTACAAAAACAATATTTGATCACGTTATGTCATTACCAATATAAATTTGAAATGTGAGTCTGATCTGTGTAAGTGCCTGATTTTTGTTCAGTCCATCCTTTATCGGAGGGGGGGGGGGCCCTGGCCCTGCCAGTTTGAAGCTCTGACAGATTCAAACCAGGAACCTGCTGTGAGGCAACAACGCTTACCACTGCACAGCGCAGTGTACTTAGCCAATCACAGCGACTCTGTGAGGTGAATGTTTGGGTTGCAATCAGGTTGCAGTGACGATGGTTGGCTGCTTTCTGTGGCATGTTCATGTTAAATTGGAGATGGTGACCCTTAGGTGTAGTTTGTTCCTCGACTTCATCTTTAATCTAAACCTGGTCCTGGAAAAAAAAGAGGTTTTAAATGTCCTAAAAAAAGGCAGCTCTATAACATACAAACATTTTTAAAAGCTTGTGATTTACCTTTGCCCTAGCTGGCACCACCTCATGCTAAACGTTTAAACTCTGCCCTTCAAATTCTCAGGAATTAAAAACAGGAACTGCACATGGCAGAGAATCTAAAGATGAAATATGAACAAATGAATAGAGAGGCATTAGTGCAGATGTTTCCATGCAACACATGAGGGTAATTCAATTATTTGCAGGGAATCAATATAATCACAGGATCTGAACCCAATAAAGCACCGTTACAACCTCCAGAGAGGCTCTTTAGAAAAGGTGGTTCAAAACACTAAGAGCCTGTCTGCACAGAAGTCCTACGTTCATAACTGAATTATAAAAATCGACTTAACTCAGCTTTATGTATGAAGTACCTTTAGTACACACATGCAGGCTTTAGCTGAGCCAAAGCCAAATTAAAAAGGACCTTACATCGCCAACAATTACAACAAATGACCGAAGGATGTAAAGGTAAGAGGAGATCATTCTAAGATGGGGTAGGACGGGGGATTCTTCACTCGAACTCAAGCTGACATTGAATGAAGCCTTGAAGAAATAAAGCTGGGAAAACAAGGCTACAGAAAGATCCAACAGAGGCTTCCTGATGAGTCGTTATTAGTTTTCCTTCGATAAGAACGGGTCAGATTACACCTCAGGGAAAAAGCACAAGAAGACTCCATGAGGGGCAAAAATTTGAGCCAGCAGGGGGAGCTTGCAACAAAACTAATGGCTTATTCTGGAGTTCAAACTAATCTTGATCAGTGGTGATTCTGGGCCCGAGGGAAAAATCAACCCTCAAACCTGCAGCACTCCGCCCACTGACAGTCTGGGGTCCCAAGCAGTTGCCTGTTGAAAAGCAGCGCCTCTGCTCTTCATCAACATAATTCAATCGTAAAGCAAGGGAATGTCTTTGAGATCTGATTAAGGGGGATTTTCCCAGGTCGTCGGGGTCGGAGGAATTCTTGAGTAGCCAACATAGTTCATCTGAAATACAACAAAATGAATTTACAAACACAAAGGTGCATTTTGCATGTATACGAGCAGAGGAATTCAGACTTGTAAACAAATCATTTACACACTAAATTCTACATATAGGAGCTGCTTTGTCCTCATTAGTGCTGCAGCCTTCCTGCTGTCTGTTCAGCAGAATCCCTCAGGCGAAGTTCTGCAGCTCTTTAGTTCGTTATTTGTGCACAAAGAAGATTGGAAATAAATATCTCACAGGTGGGTGAACAACCCAGAGGACTTGTAAACAGCCACCTGACATTAGGCTCAAGTTTAAAAACACATTTACAGGCAGATTTGTGTGTTTTTAACACGTCTAAGTGGGGGTGAGGGGATTACATTTTATGATTGTTATTGTATCTATCCCCCATTGTTCCTTTAGTCTCTAAATTGGTTTTCTGCAGAAATGCTCTCTAATACGTATTACAGCCCTCGGGGGTACAATGTAGCCGTGAGCTTATTGATTTTTTCTTTCTCTATGTTTCAGAGACAGAGAACATCCGGAGAGAAAGTAAACCTAAGTATGGGAAACGAGCATTCACACGAGAAGAAGCCTTAATTGACATTAGTGTGATTTCAAAGAAATGATTATGGAATAGATGTAAACTAAATGATCTCTGTGATGGGGGATTATCAGATGATGAGAGAAAGGTTGTGTCCTCGACAGTAAATGAGTTCAAAATGATAAATGGACTTAGATCTTGTGTATCTATTTTCCAGTCTTCTGATGACTCAAAGCTCTTTTACATCGCAGGTCACACCTACACATTCACACACTGATGGCAGGAGTAAATAATCCTGTTCATACACATTCATACGCTGCTGAGGAAGCAGGAGGAGCAACATGGGTTAAGCGTCTTGCCCAAGGACGCATAAGACATGTGAGAGACAGACGCCTGCCGCCTGCAGTTGTGTGTGCATGCTTTACTTTGTTATCAATGTTTTTTAGAGAGACATAAATGAATAACAGAATGATAAAAATAAACCAATAAAAAAAACACAAATACAAATAGAATGAACAAATCTATGTTTGAGTTTTTGGTTTTATTTCAGTTTTTTTGTCCTCATTGTTTTTTATTGTTGTGTATTTTTTAAATGTTTGTTGTTGTTGTTGTTGTAGGCAATGTTGTTTATATTGTACATTTTTTAAATAAAATATTGTAAAATAAAGAAAGTGATTCCAGCGGTGAAACAACAGAACATATTTACAACCTCGGCAAAACTAAAAGAGTGGAGAACCAACCCTGAAATCCAACATGAACCTCTGCAGTAAAAACGTTAAACAGCATGCCCTCTAAAGCGCAGCACACATACATGTATTTTGGTTTCTCATAAGGTAGACTTCATGATGACTGAAGAGACGGCTTTCCTGGAATCGGCCTTTTCTATCTTTTTCTTCACACATTACAACAGCACACAACTAAAGACCAATCAAAACAGTCCATTGGTCCAGCAGACAAGGACACAGTGAAAACCTCCCGAAACCAAAAAAAACCAGTCTTTAAAGACAGACACCAAACTAACACATGAAGAAAAGGTCTATACAGCGCAATATATAGCAGCTGATGTTTAGAATATGTAAACCTTACATTGGTGTTAGAATTTCATGGCAGTTTCTCACCAGAAATTGCGTAAAAAGTGTCAATTATAAACACCTAAGCAATTTATTAGAAAGCAATGACAAGGATGAGTGATGATAAGAGGGGGGAAAATTCACTTTCAAGGATGAATTGTTAACATCCTACATGATATTCAAACACAGCGAGATCAGAAAAACACAGCAGGTAATCAAATCACTGATGGTGAGAGGAAATGATTGAAGGCAGCCAGAGCCCAGTTCATTAGCAGATACTGATCCTGTCTGAGTGCCATCACTAAGGAGCAAAATGAAACACCTACACATTGTAGAGAGCTGTGACTAAGGTCACTTTATCATTTCATTCAGTAGATATCTTTCATATTGGTTCTTTAACCTTTCCAATATATATTTTATTTAAATACTGCAGAGGGGGAAAGTTGCTCCATGACTGAAAAGTCATTGGAAAGAAGAAAGCCTTAGATACAATTTGCGGGCCCGTAAAAGACAACTCTAAAGAATAACACAGTAAGATGTGACAGATTCATTTTTCCACACCATATAGTGTCTCTTATAGTTTCCTGTGTGTTTCCCCGGGAAACGTGACAGCTCAGAGTGTCACAGAGACAGTCGAGAGGTGACAGCAGACGGCTTCTTCTTCTCCCAACACTTGGAGAAACTTGGTATTAATTGGAAGTGTTTCTTTTTTCCACAACTTGTCGGCTAAATGTATGACTTTCTCAATCCATGAGAATCCACACAATTATACAAATCTACCACAGCATGCCAAGTGTATGAGTGAACTTCACCTGAAGCTGAAGAAGGTGAAGATTCTCTCCCAAACAGACGAGTTGGTGTTGTTTTTTTCAAGGATCCTCTCACCTTTCACAGGGTCACAGATAGAAGTTTGATTCCTGTATGAGAGGCACCAGGTAATCCATCCACACTGCTACAGCAATCACATCCACTTATGTCTGCTGCAGATAACTGTACACATTTTTTTTTCTACCTCAGACAAAAACACCAATTTTTCATATAATGAGTCTCACAAACTTCCGTTTCTGGAGGTCAGCAGCAATTTGTTGG